CGGTTTGCACAGCGAGTTTTGTAAATAAGGTGCAACCAAAACACGGCGGTAGCTAATTGTTGTGTACCTTGGGACAATTCAATCTGGGATTTGCAGATTTGTGTGCGTTTGTGATGTAAAGTGCCACAACGGTTGGTTCACATATAAGCCAGCAATTACAGTAATTTATCTGTGGAGGGCGAAAAAACAGCAGGCAGGACATGTATTCAGTGTTTGTGTGTCAGGCTTGACCTCCCATGGAGAACAAATACTTATTGTGACTGATGAGGAGAGGACATAAAGGTTAAGGATGAGGGTCTCTTTCAGGGGCCTTGTTAACCACACCAGTGGACAGAGGCCAAAACAAAAGACAGAGGCTGATTTAGGGCGCATGGTTCCACCCTGCAGCTGACATGCTCTAATCTCAATCTTTGGAAGTAACCGTTTATAATGTATTTTGATATGCATCTTTTAATTGGACATGCTTACAGTGTTTAGGCATGCTGCTGTGTTTAGTTTCATCCTTTAGTTTCAATGAAAGTTCATACTTTTACTCATTCACCTTGTGGAAACAGTACATATAGGAAGAGGTCAAAAGGCCGACTGGGTGAATGAGAAGCAGAAAAGTGCTTCTGGTGCTTTGGAAAGCTAAACAGACAGGGATACAAGGCTGTGAAAAGGTCAGCAGAATGAATGGCCACTCTTCAAATCTCTACTCCCTGCTGTCCGGACAAAGGCTTCACCCTGGAGGGCCGTGCATGTTTATCCTCAAGTGATACGATGATATTCTCTCAACTCTCACTCAATTTCTTTAAACAGTTTTCCCCTCTCTCCTCCTATAACTCAGTCGCCCCTTTTCCGTTTCCTCCCGCTCTACCTCCTGGGTTGCACGTTGTAGACGTTACCTAATTACCCGTGAACGCCACCAGTTGAAGTGGTCCCCAGAGAATGACGTAGATCTGTGACATTTACGAAAATGTCAGTGACTTTTCAGGGGAAGCAATGAGGGAAGCGAGAGAGACCCATTATAGCTGAGTGTTTTTTATTGTTTCAATGTGTCTCCCATCCCTACGTTACAGCCTTCAGAAGATTTGAGAATTTAATTTTGCCGGTTTCTCTCATATGTCCTCAATCCACAGAGACTGAATCGATGATGTTGACTCAGGGATGATGCGAGATGGCTCCAACAAACCAAACTTTAATTTCTCCCCGGCGAATTGTAATTAGATCAATGCTCACCGTGCCTCAAAATGGTTTCATATCCCCTGAAAACAAATGGTTGCTTATGATAAATTATGGACTTGCATTGTCATCATCATTATCATCACATTATGATCTTCATCCTTGAGCTGCAACATCGGCTCTACCATCCTCATATCACTACTGCTCTCCATTTAAACACGTCAGATGTCACTCAGCAGAATAACTGCAGTGCTGAAATAATAAGTTGATAAAAAATTCATCTTTAGCTGTTTTATTAATACATTTATTGATCGTAATTTCTCACCGTAGTGAAGCCGGCTTGTGGTGCGCACTAGAAAATTAGATCATCAAAGGTTGTGAGTTGAGCGCGATGGCACCTCAAGTGGTGGTGTGGTTGTGCCCTCTGACTTGTAAAATGTCTGTAACTAGGCCCTCTGAGCTTTTCAGATATGACTGTCACAAGTAGTTCACTGATAAAAGCACTATTAACATGTCGGACGATTTTACAAAGAAGGCTCATTTGTTTTTAGATGCTTTAAAAACAGGAGGTCTTAAAAATAATCCTTGATATTAAAACTTAGCTTCTTTCTTTTGCAGGGCTTGTTTAATAAAGTTACGTAGTCCATGATTAGGAGATGTGAGTCTACAGTTACTTACAATTCCTCCTCAGCATTGTGAAGTTTGGTTAATGCTGTTTTGCCAGTTACACTCATTGACTTCTTGCTTATTCACAGTACATTATATGCCCTCTGGCGTTTCTGAGAATAATGCAACGAACACCTTGACGAGCATTAACACCTTTGTGCTTCATCGTAGCTCCACGACATCTGTGGAGGAGACCGCCACAGTGCTACGCGAGAGTATAAACAAAGCTTAAGACCACAGCCATGCTAGCAGTTCTGTGAGGCTATGCTTAGGCACAGCGGAGCTTTGAGCTAAATGCTAATGTCACTATGCTAACATGCTCACAATCACAATGCTAACTTGTTGATGTTCAGCGCGCTAACACACTTACATTTGCTAATTAGCACTAAACCCAATGTTATACATTTTGCAAGAGTTGGTCTTAAACGAGAGTTTTAGACAAATTAATATTTTGATCTGAAAATGGCACTAGATGAAAAGTCTGGGGATCACCCAAGTGTATGTACTTATGTGTATGTATCCTCCAGGAACCCTGAATATTTCAAGATACATACATGGCAATCCATCAGACAGTTGACAAGATATTTTCCTCTGAGTCACAAATGTCACGCTTGTGCTGGCACTAGAGGAAAAGTGGGGGGATCGCCAAAGCCAGTATAGGATTCATCGCCTGGGGACCATGAACAAACTTTTATGGAAACCCAATAGTTATAGATATTTCAGCCTTGACCTAAGTGTAGGAGGAACTGTCCAACATTGCCATCACTAGAGCCCCTTGCATAACTAAAAACTGACTCACCACTTCTCTGTTTATATGATTTTGAATTGAATACCTTTGGTTTGTTTGACACAGAAAGCTTTTGGTGACATCATTTTTGGCTCAGTGAATTTGTGAAGATTTTTCACTGTTATATATATTTTTTAATTATCCACAGATTAAACTAAAATTCAAGTTATCGCAGTCCTAATTTTTACTGATGATCTAAGGTAATTTCAGTGAATGGGACATCCTTGTTGTAGCACTTCATTTAATTTCCATTTAGGAGACAGTAGCATTTGTTTTGTCATTTGCTGCTTTCCCCCCTTTCACAGATGTGCGGGAGGTTGTTGTGGTTTGCCCCTCAGGCTCAGAAAAATGAACTTGTTGAAAACGTTTGACCTCGGTCCCTGTGTCTCCTATGGCTGTAATCTATGGTTGCTTTGACAAATGCGTGCTGCCTTTTCATTCCTTCATTTGGAAAGATAGCTTGAAGAGGAATGGTTTGACCTGGCTGCAAACCATGTGTCTGTTGGACATGAGCTATACCGCGGAAGTCTTTACCTTCATACTGGGACCAGTGATGCCTATGACGCTGCTTTTCAGCATTCCTCCATTCTCCCTCCCTGCAGTACGTGAACTGACTGGTCCAACAGTGGCTGTGTGGCCTGTTGGGCTTGTGACCCTGTGTGATCCTTACTGAGAAGAAAATATGGTCAAGCCTTAACAATTTCTCATGTCTGTGAATTGATGGACAGTTGCCCCGAAGCTATGTACGGGCCTAAAAAAGCACAGTCAACAAGGATGTACTCAGTAACCTCAAATGGGGAAGCTGGCCTAAAATCCAAATGAGGGTGTGGTCGAGCGCTTTTCTCAATAACCTCTTGTCAATGTACAGGCGGTGGCAGCCTCCAAACTCTACATGGGACTGCTCCTGCCTCTACAGCCACCCCTCACTGGGGGTAGAGAGGTGGGGCAGGGGAGGCAGGGACCTTCAGATATTCCCTTGTGCGTCCGACTTGAAAGTTTCTGTTTCTGTGAACTTTACATCAAACGCTCATGGGCTACTGCTGGCTCTTTGAAGTGGTAGAAGGGGAGGGGGTATCTGAGCTGAGTACGGGCCTCTGCCTCGACATGTTCAGGTTCAAAACGGACTCTGCAGCAGTGTAAAAACAGCTCAGCCAAAGGTCTAGTGAGAATGGCACAAGATCAAGGCTTAGGACTCATCTCTCAGTTACCATTGCTGTCTCATAATGAAACATCTACAGACTCACTAGTGTTATTTTACACACAGTTATTGAAGTTCCTCTTCAAGATTAGTGTTTCTACTGACATCACACCCATCCTGGGTGTGATGTCTTTCAGGCGTAGAATATCAAGAAATCAAACACACAACTATCACAAAGTTACCACTGCTGCTACTTTATTACTTTTTCTACCAGCTACTGCTGCTACTAATACATCCGTTTACTTCTTTAAGTAAAATGTCAATTTAATTTTTTTGTGAAGTAACATACCTCATGAGCATTGAAAACAGGAAATCAGTGGAGCTATTTCCAGTAAATGCACAATCAGGTGTGAACTATGTCCACTCATCCTCCTGATGTCATACAGGTCACGTCCTTTATTTTCATTTTTATTTTCTATTACAGTGTTGCTAAATGCAGGATAATGCGTGCTCCACCTTTCTTGATCATAACTAAGGGGCTGGGAGTATCAAAAAGTTCAAACTGATAGAATAGATATCTATGCATAGATATAAAGTATACTATCTAAGTGTGCATTGTCACAGGAAAAACTCCCCCAAAAAACCTTTAACAGGGAGGAAAAAAAGGAAGAAACCTTAGGGAGAGCAACAGAGGAGGGATCCCTCTCCCAGGATGGACAGAATAGCAACAGATGTCATGAATGAACAACATGACAGAGTTACAACACATTAAATGCAAATGACAGATATGATTCATATAATGAGAGTAGCAGAAAAGCTGTCATGGTATTGGTAATAGTAATGTGACTAATAATAACAATGATAGTAGCAGTGGGTGTCCAACATCCAGCTAGATTTTTAACGTCATTCATATATTAATGCAACTTTTGAACAACTTTTTTTTTACATTGAAAGCCAAGTCTTGAACTCCATTGAGAAATAATCATGTAGATTTATTCATCAGTTGCCGACTCAGTAAAGTGGCATGCTGATATAAGTAAAATAGCAGTAGACTAAAGTATTAATATTACAAATACTTTTAGCATTCCGTCTTCTCGTCTGAAATGATGATTTGGCTCCATTGTATTTACTAATAAAAACATATATATCAGCTCTATTTGTGTATGAAATAGAATACTAAACTGTGTAATCGTAATGTCACATTGACACGTGAATGTGCCTGTTTACTTGTTTTGTTTTATTCTGTAGAGATAGAACAGAAAGCGTTTCACAGGACGGGCACAAGGACCATGCGGACTCCTCAGACAGAGGGGGGCCGGGCTCTCGTTCTCCCATGCACCAACCATCGACTGACATTGGCCACTGCTCCACATTAAACACCCCGCATTCAGAAAAAGAAAAGAGGAACCATCTGACAAGAGCAGCATCCACTGGTAGCTGCCTCACTGTCTAACGCGCTCAGCACGCCGCCAGCTCCGAAGCCACACAAACTAAACAGGGTGGGGAAAAAATGGCCCAAAGTGAGATGCAAAGAGGAAGTTTGAAGAGTGAGGAGTTCTTCTTTGATTCCGAGGCGTCTCTCTTGGATCAGCAAGATTTCGACATGTCTAGTTGCCCTTTCAATGACGTCTTCAACTCCAAAGACTCCCACATGGAGCAGATCAACACTTTTCTGAAAAACGTACAAGTTTTGCTGGAAGCTGCTCGGTTTCTCGAGAGCGCCGAGAGGAAGGACGGAAGTGAGTTTTTATGTGCTGCGTTTGATCCTTGTCGTTTGCCTCTGAATTTCAGGAAAACAAGACTTCATTGTCAATAGTCTCAGACAACAAAGGGCTGAGTTCATTCAACTAAGCACCACTGTCTGCTGTAAGCACAGCCTGCACCAGACTAATATGACTGATGCATGAATATATCAATTATAGAGTATAATAGGCTCTATGCTTTCACTGGTATCCGACTATTTGTGTCTGCATTACCTGCATGATGAGTGCTGTGCATCGCTTTGCGCCTGCACAGCACTCATCCCAAGAATCTGTAATATTTTTCACAACAGCATTGATAAAGTTACATGACATTATGATGGGGGTGTGTGGGTGTGCATGCTGGCAACCACTCCGATATGATAAATCTGACCACATTGCAGCGCCCTCCAACTCAGTTTAGGATGATGTCATTGTGCCCCCGCAGACTCGATCGAAAAAAACATGTAACTTTATAGATATAACGCAAATGAAACAACTGAATGGTGAATCGGACATATGTAAAACATGCAAACGTATCGCCTGACTGTTTAATTTTCTTTATTTTTTATATAACTTATAAACCCTTCATATAGGGTTAATTGCAAGTGGCCTATCACATTGCAAATGCATCATGGCCCAGGTATCCTTTAATGGTAGCTCATTTGTAACAAATGCAATATTAAAAACGACTTTTTAAAAATGAATTATTAATGATGTCCTAGTTTCCTTTTAACAAGTCATGATTCAAAGACAGTGGAAAATAAGCTGTTTTTCCATCGCTTTGCGTTCAGGGCCGCTGTGCAGAAATGCTGAGCATATGGGCTCGTGCGCATCGCAAAAGATCTTTGAGTAATATAACCTATTATAATGTTACGTGGCGATTTTTGCAGCAGCAGATCGCAGCAGCTCAGCTCTTCTCTCGATTGTTTGCTTCCTGCTATTTGTGGGCGTGTCCCACTGGTTTCCACATGGCGCAAAGCTGCTCTGCGGTTGGTCAAGTGCGAGCTCAACCCTCAACGCCTGTCAAAGCCATCCGCCAATCAGACGCCCGCTCGGTAGCGACGTCATGTGTTGCTGGGCCTGGCTTCAGCCCGCAAGTACACCCCTATGGTCGTGGTGGATCATGGGATTTGTAGGGCTTTTTTATTTTTTTTTTGCAGCGAGGGGAATGGAAAGAGCGAATATGAGAGGAAAGAATGGCACAAAATTAGTATTTTTATTTAGTCAGTAACGCATCAAACAACCACCTCAATCGATCTATTAATGACTGTCGGCCTAGATTAGTAAAATAATATTTTTTTTAATTTTGCAAAATTTTGATATCCTACCTATTTCAGCCCTGCGATCAAGAATAATGGTGCATATTTGATCATAATTGAATTATAATTGATTTCATCATTATTTTTCTTAATTGCCACAGCAGCAATAACCTGGAATAAACATATATATATATATATATATATATGTGTGTGTGTATATATATATATATGTTGACCTGTGCCACAGACGTATTTAATCAATAAACTGACATCCTAAAAGGTAAATCATTAAATAATTACGGACGATGTCACTTGATAAATCGCAGTAACGGCGTGCTAAAAATGATGTATATTGGGCATGTTTGACAGTATTTTATAAACGCACCGAAAGACTCCGTTTCCCCGAATGCACCGCGAGAGACCGGCCTCTCCGCCAGGTCCCCGCCTCTCAGCTGTGCAGCTAGGTAAACAAACAGGAGAGGAGAGGAAACGAGCAGCAGCAGTCACTTTGCTGGCTCTGGGCTCCCTCGGGGGAATTTTATATTGTTTATATCCGTTTTTGTAAACATTTAATATCGTGTTTCCTCGTAACTTTTAATACTTTGATACACTGATTTTGACATTTTCTTATAACGAAACCTGGCAAGGATTGGCTGTAGCTTGCCAGCTTGGAAACACTGGATTTCTCCCCCTCCTCTTCTTTCGACAAAGGCTGCAGATGAGCCAGCGAAGACACTGAGCAAAATAATATTTTTATTTTTTAAGTATCACGCAGTGCAGTAATAACCGATGCACCCTCTTTCCTGTTATTAAAAAAACGACCCGTCGTTGCCGCTTTCAGTGAAGCTAACGTTAACCTGAAGAGAGCCTAGCTAACGTCAACGACAGCCTCACGAGAGAATGACGGCTGTTCAGCTCATAAATGTCCAAATGTTATTGGAAGCTGCGGAATATCTGGAAAGGAAAGAAAGAGGTAATTACATTTTACACCAAAATAGGAAGTGTCAGCAAAATTCCCTCACAAACGCACTCGAACTATCTTACATGAATGTTCACGTCGAGCTGAAGGATTGCTGGATATGGTCGAGAGAAAAAAGTGCCCAAACTAGCTTAACTGTTAACCACACATTTTCTTTCGACAGAGTGTGAACACGGATATGCTTCGACGTTTCCATCAAGTCCGAACACAAACTACCAGAGGCAAAGAAAATTCCGAAATAAGAAGTTTAGCAGTAACCACAATAGGTAAGACACGTCTCTCTCTCTCTTCCATCCCTGGTACATTGTGGGCACTGTTGACGAAGCATTTCCTTGCTTTTACTGATGATCGGTGTTCGGAATTCAAGCTGTCTTTTACGTGAGCTGTAGTGGGAGGTGGCGCAGCCAGCATGTGGTTTGGTAAACAAGCGAGCTGTCACTACAGGAGGGGGAGGGGGGGGACACAGTTGCTGGCAGCTTTTTCACGGTCCAGAAAAAAACCACTCTTTAGTTAAAAAAAGAATATATATATATATATATATATATATATAACAAAAAAGTTTGCATGGATGTTTGTCCAACTAGAGACGTGTTTAGGACATAGGTGCACTGCACATATGGCCGTGCACACCGCTGTCTGCTGGCTTGGGGGAGGGGGCAGCACCGAGGGCTCTGCTAGCTTTTCATCAGCTGATTGGCAAACGGACTGCAGTGGCTGAGGTTAGGGACCGCGGTGAAAGAGACGGTTTTTTTAAAGCGAAGAAAAGTCATCTATAATGCTGTGCATTCCTCTCACCCCTCGGTCGAATTAGCCCACAGGCCTTTGCTTTATTTTAAATTGAGTAATTATTTCAGTTTTCGGTGGAAGTCACGCTTATTCTCTCCTGTGTCAAATGTATTCTACACTGTGGGAGAGAGGGATAGCTTTGCCTTTTACCCTAAATGGGAAAAACTGCTATTTATGGCTGGTGTTGTTTGCAGCTTTCCAATGGTGAATATGTGGAGTCTTTACCAGGATTAATGCTGTTTGAGGGTAATCAGTAATTTGTTGTTACACTTGTTTTATATAATTTAAAGAAAAGCACGTTTGAGCCTCTTGTTGTATGCATCATCAAGCATGCACCACATCAAGCTGTTGGTGTGTGTGTGTGTGTGTGTGTGTGTGTGTGTGTGTGTGTGTGTGCGCGTGCTCTGGAGCTTATGGTTTATTCTATTGTGCAGCTGGATGTAATACTGTCTGATAATCGCATCATCAGCTGCTTGAGCCCTTGTCAAGCACAATGCTCTCACTGATGAAAGCAACTCGCCTTTAATAAGAATCTCCAAAGTTAAGACTCATTGTGTGTGTTTTTCTTTCTTGGTGCTAGGCTGCTTACATTAATCTGTCCATTGACAGTCGTGCATCAAACGCAGGCCCCACTCTCTCCCTCTCTCTGAGCCTTTTAATATTAATGTAAGAGCGGGACACAAACAGGAAGTGCGCATTACTCATCACGACCGCAGAACGCTGCCCTACTAGTTCTGCATGGCAACAGTCGTGATCAGATATAGGTCTGAGGCTGTTGTCATAAAGCCCCCAAAGAGTTGCTCCAAATAGGGAAATTCTTCATGAGTACACAGAATAATAGCGTTTTGAAACAATATCATCTTCAATGTACAAGGAAAACCGCTGATACCGAAGCGCTTTTCTGCCACTAAGGCCTCTAAGGTGAACAACTCTTTAGGAGGACGAGGACGGGTGCACTCATAGAAAGAAATTGGCACAGTTATACATATGAGACTGTGCAGGAATGATGTTTGATCTTGCTCTCCACAGAGACGCGTTCACATCTCACTTGGTGAGATGACACCATTCAGCATTTGGCACCATTTCTCCGCATCGTGTTGTGATGGCGTTTATTTCATTCCCCACTGGATTTGCACACCTCGCAAACCAACAAAACAGCATTATTTGTTCATCACCACTGCTGCACGGGTCACCGATGGGGGCACATGTCCGCGTCTTTAGCAGCCTGTATTTACCCAACGCTCATATTCATGGCTTCCAGACATAGAACGAGGAGAAATCGTGATAATTAGTTGATGTTGTGAATCATTTTCCCCCACCTCTCAATGCCCTAATACAATGTCCACAGATTCCAGAGAGAAAACAGCTACAACTGAAATCTACATCATAGAGTACCTGCACCTCAGTCATATAGATGCTGCTGTTCGGTACTGGCCTGCTCCAGCCATGCAGCAGCTATACCTTCTCAGTAGCGTGTTGAGGCTTAAAGCGATGGGCTTATCTGACTCTGTCCTCGCTTGCCTACCGTTTATAGCAGGGTTGCTTTATCTCATTGACCCACTCTGTGTGTGCATATACATGCACACACATACACAGTGTTCTGCAGTTGTTTGTGTGTGTGGCCTTGAGCCAGTTTATAATCTCTATCACATTGTTGTGGAGCTCGAGACGCAGAGATATCTGATTCAGGCGACAGGGAAAAGTGGTTTGTGATGATAAAAGCCAATGGGAAAGCAAGCTGACTTAGATGGATCTCTCTGAATGAGAGGCCATACTAAGATGTAGTGTGTGTGTGTGTGTGTGTGTGTGTGTGTGTGTGTGTGTGTGTCGCTTGGACCAGGGCAAACCTAAGGCCTCTCCCATTTTCAGATTAACAGATGGTGTATGTGACATCAGCATTGCCCTAAAATAGACTTCCAGTTCCAAAGTTCTTCAGGGAAAATAAGATTTGGGTCTTCATCACTGTCGGTGCGTCTTGAGTCGTGATAATCAGCCGGGAAACACAATGACATGATTACACGGGATCAGATTGTGGTGTAAACGCTTAAAGAGTTTTGAAGAGATTACATTTCGTGATGAGGGTTTCCAAGCAACACGGACACAGTTGCAAGCACAGCGGCAGCCGACGATGCAAGTTATGCACTCCAAAGTATTCGTCTTACAGAAATCGGTGGACTCGCTGCCATTACAAAGTAATCATAAAATAATTCTATATTCACATATAGACCGTGACTATTAATTTTCCCAACAAAGAAATCATTCTGGAGCACCGAGTTCATTTTTAGAGGGTAGAAGAAGCCGGACTGAAGAGATCAAGCCGATTGTAAGTTCATCAGTTTTTATTCCTTATGTGTGACTGGTTGTCTGATGCGGAACACAGTCATGTATGACCACTACGGAGTTGTAGAATATGTTAGTTGAAACCCGTGAGAAGAGCACGCGTGTGAGCACTCAGGCTCTCACAGAAAGTGGCTTTCATGTGAGCCCTGTGTTCTCCACCTGGCCACACACCTTTTCATGTTCAATCCAACACACCGCTGCAGTTGACTGAACATCCAGTCTTGCGTACCAAACTACAGGAAATTTAATTTATTCAAATAGAGACATATGGTGTTTTTATTGGTATAAATAATTCAACTGGAACAAATCCTTTCCTCTAAGAGCGGGGACATGTTTTATTTTTTTTACTGACTGAACCACAGCCATGCACTTGTCCCTCCGTCTTATCCCTCTCTACCTCCTTCCTCCCCCATTCTTATCCCCCCTCCCCCCCTCCCATATTTCCTGCTTTCGTGTTAAGAAGGCGGCAGTTTTTTGGCAGCTCAGTATTAAAAGAAAAAGTACGACGACAGAGGAAAGCATATTGCAGTATTGATAACCCACAATACAGAGAGTGCTGTGTACATGACTCAGGAGAGGTTGAGTCCACATCACCCCCCCCCCCCCCCCACACCCCCGAACTGGAGTACAGTTTGTGTGGATGGGAACTTGGCCATTTAAGCATCAGGAGGAGGGCTCGTCTCCCTTCAGTATGTTGCCCCACAAAGAGACTCTTAGGAACCAGCTGATTCACTTTACATTATTAACAGAGCTCTGAACCCTGACTGCTGCTGTGCACGTGAGTGTGTGCACGCTCACACTTGCCCAGCAGCACACACACACTCACACACAGAGTTGTGCTGTGCATTATTGAGGAAGAGGCTGTATGGAGCCACAGTGAATGCCAGGCTGTCACGTTGACGTTTCTTGGTGTACAGGCTCCAGTGCCCTGGGCCTCCAGTTTGGTCTCGTTTGGGATTAATTAATGAATCCATAATTCAAATTCGACAAGGCGCCTATCTCGGCCCCCTGCTTGTCTAGCTCATACAGTTATTATCTTTATGCTATGACTTACTTCCTCAATCGGAGTGAGTGCATTGCTTGTTCAGGAGGAACAGGTACTGTGGGACTTTGCTTGTTCAGCGTGCAAAACTATGCATTTGCGTAACGTCTGTTTTCTGTCTTTGCAGGTCCACACACAATGAGCTGGAGAAGAATAGGTGAGTTGGCACGACATTTTCCAAAACATTTAACCTTTTAAATCACGAGCCTGCAGGCACATGCACACCCTGCACTGACATGTAAACAAGTCCATCACGTCCTGCTTTCGTTTTTTGCTCTTCCTCTTCAACAGCTCCTGAGAGCTTAAAGTAAAGGGTCACCCAGTAGCGTTAAGTTAAAGACGTTCCCTCCTCCGCGTTTCCTCCTTTTGCAGGCACACACACACACACACCTTTTTGAATTTATGCAACAGGGCGGCTGGGCTAAGGGTGTCGAGTTACAGTGGGCAGGCAAGGGTGCATGCAGGCGGACCTGGAGCTTAAGTCAAAAGTTCAGTGCTTGTTTTGATGCAAAGATGTTTTTTTCATTCGTGTGTGGAGGTGGCAACAATGTCAGCCTTATGCCCAAACAAAATGTCCTTTCAGCGGCTTTGCGTGATCATGATTCCACCCTGAGTTATATCTCTGCATCCATGATAGTGATCTACACTGGAAGAGATGTGTGGTGTTCAGGGAGACCGTGGCTCGCGATGGTTTACCACAACATCTTCTGAGGGCGCCGGCGCTGGTCTCTTCGAAAGCCCTTATCAGATTGAGTTCACCACCCACACAGGGTGCTTGCTGGTGTTTATGCCCGGTGACTTTGCAGGCTTCAAGAGTCAAGTCGTTATGGGTTTTCTTTCGACACCATAGATAAGAGCGGCTAGACTTGCTAGGATTGATGATAAATGGAGAAAAGAGGCTCGCTTTCCATTGCATTATCTGTGAGGGCGTGGGTACAATGAAGGGATGTGGGAGGCTGGACACATTTAGCGTAATTACATATCACCTCGTCCCTGTTTTTCTCACCATTCTCCCTGGCAGCCTTTTTCTAAAAAGCATGGGAACATTGGAAAGAGAGGCGTCCAGTGAGTTAAATATAGACAAGAGTTGATGTGTCATCTTGGTGCTCATACACGATGCCACTCGAGGCCAGCCGGTCGGCCGACTGGCCTCGGCAGATTGCAGCACCCTTGTGGTTTTTGCATTTCCCTTGTATTCCACCCACACAAAATACATTTTAAAAAAAAAAAAAGAAAGAAAGGGTGCCGGCTCAAATGTTGCTTCCTGCAAACACAGTGTGAGGGCTGTTTTCGTCAATCGGCCAGGCGCTTCGTAGTACGGCCTGTTCCCATGGCCATTTATGGGCTTTAGTCATCTCTGCCAATCGGAGCACACTAAAGCCTGTAGATGGCAGGACAGAAGGGATCACTGCTGGCTTTGTTCGGCACTGAATTATGGGTACTGCAGAGTTATGAACCGTTAGATGGATAACTTAACGAAGTACTTTATTTCCCCCCCCTCTTGTCTCCGTCTCCAGTGTGGTGGTGTTGCTTAGTAGTTGAACAGTACAAGATTAATTCGAATTTCCATTAGCAAAGAAAGAGGTTTGAAATTGTAATCCATCTTTTTAGAAGCACACTTAAAGTCAGAATTGTTTATAATCCCCCCCCCCCCCTTCCCTTTTTTTGCCAGCAGTTAATCCAATTCACTTTTAAGCACATGCCTCAATGTAAGCTCTATGTATCAGGCATAGTTGTTCACCCAAGTGTGTCAGGCTTATACCATGATTCTACAACAGCAGCAGCAGCAGCAGCTTTCGTTCCATCTCAGCAGACGTCCCGGGTCCTGTAAATTGGAGGCAGCTCCTTTATGGTCCAGCCTGTCTGGGGCCTTTTTTTCCAACACTTATCAACCTTGTGTATCTGCCGCCAGCCAGACGATATGCCTTGCATGGCTACCACAGGCCCCGATAGCCTCTGTGACGAGTAGAGTCGTCGGGACAGCGGAGACCAAAGGATGCCAATAAAAGGGGCCGAAAGAGTGTGTGGGGGGGGGGGGGGGCAACCAACATTCCAGATGCTCACACTGTGCGGCGGGACCAGATAACATGGTGGCTCTGCGGCTTTGATCATGTACCTCACTAACAGCCCCATTGCACTTCCTCATGTCACTACTAAATAACGCTGCATCGGCTTATATCTGCCCGTGCATTGCAGTTCCAGCCCTTTGATCTCACAGCCTTTCCGCCTATTAGTATTTTCTTTTAAACATGTTGATAACTAATTCCCCAGCTCAGGTTAGTTGTTGGCTGATCCTTGTTTGAAATAGTGAAATACTATATTCCAGGGTTTGGTCTATTATCATTCAACCAGTTGCTTTCTCTTCCCTTTTTCAGATGATGAGTCTGTTCATGGATAATAATCAATACAGCCGGCTTTTACTTGCTACAATAAATCCTGTCGCTTATCATTTACCCTCCTCCTCCTCCACAGCGACCTATTCGTTTTAATATTGTTTATTATCAAGGCCAGGCTTATAATAAACCCCTCAAATTATGTTTCCCCGGTGCAATATTAGCTTTTCCGCTGGATTTTTTTTTTTTTACGAGGGGAGTTAGGCAAACAGTGTGGGTTAAACACTTATCAGTGTGTGCCTGTGGAATATTAAAAAGAGTCGGTCTTGCCCATTAGAGCCGGGAGGCAGATCGGTTGTCCTTGGGTGGCATGTAAGGAGCATCCATGAGGTCTGCTCTCTCGGGATTTGTTTTGGCTCAGTGGTATGTGAAATGCCAAATGAAGATAATTACGCCTCTTTTACGATTTTGTATTGGTGTGGGTGACCTCGACTGTCAGCGTTTTCATTTTCTGCATGTGTGTGATAGATAGGCTTCTTCCTTTGGCTGCAAAGCAGACCAGATTGTCGGGATATACGGTCAGATTTAAGAGCTTGCTCCTCTTATTTAGCTTTAAAATATCCTTGAATCTTACTGTTACAACCACAGGCCTTTTAGTAACATGCACTCCAGGCAGTAACACTCACCACTGAATATCAATGAATAGGTGTCACATTTTCAAATGGTACATAACTCTGTTGGGATTGAAGCACCTTCATGTATTTCCTTCTTTATTTTTATAACCAGTGTGCTATAAACTCAGCGCAGTTGTTCCAGCCTTGAGGTTGGATGAGCAGTCAAACATGAATAAGCCCGGGCTACATTTTCTCTGGCTGTGCTGATGCTCCATGAAGAAAGCCAAACTGCTTCAGCAGTCTTTCTGCCCAGTGAGTGCATCCTATTCTCAGGCTCCGCTGCGGGGCCTAACACTGGGACCATTTGTCCCGACCAACGTGACGACTTGTGAGCTTTTCTTGGCTCCGAAAAGCAGCTTAAGGGACTTGATCTTTGGTCTGGTGAGCCCAGCTAGAGCACGCACACGTACAGGGGAACACACACCCCCACCCCTTCCTCTCGCAGCCCACCCGGTGCTAGTCCTTAAGAGTCTAGCTTTAGCTTTGCCTTAGCGAACGACGGCGTCAAGGGACCAGGAAGTAATTGACAGGCTGATGGGATGAGCGGAGGGATGGGTCAAAACACACCTGACTAAGGGGAAGCCTCGAACAGCACGCAAGCCTGATCCGCACTGTGTCAGTGTGAGCATTCCCCAACCGGTAATTAACACCGTGGTGACACATGAGCCAGTATCAGGGCGGGACTAATCACCACATGCAGTCAGATGGTGACAGGTTGTGGCTACAAGTCTGCCTCCTCTACACAACCAGTGTGGCAGGTGACCAGCTTTAACGATGAGATCATATCGTGTTTTAAAACTTGCGATTGGGGGAAACTACCTCGTTCAAACTGTGTACTTTGCACACCAGTGAAAGCACCTATACTCCCTTTCAGCCCGAGACGAGATACTTGCGTTTTCACTTGTGTGGGCGTGTAGCTCTGAGTTGAGCTCCAGGAGGAGTGCATTAGCCTGCATTGATTCGCCTCTCTGTCGCACGCACCTGCTTGGGGTTGCCAGGTTTCTGACAGTAGAGAGTTTTTATAGGATTGGCACCCTCAGTCACTTACTTTTTTTTTTTTTTTTAAAGAGAGGCACTTGCCTTTAGCATCAATAAACTGACCAGAGTGACACAGCGCTGCTAAAAGATGGCAGAAAGTAAGAATGAGCTGACTGTTTTCAGTGTTAGCAGTTCATATGAGCTATATATGTAGCCGCTTCGTGCAGAGAAAACGTCAATACATATTATATGGCATATTATATATACATAATATATGGAATAACATCTGTTTAATCTAATATTATCTCCAATCAACTAATATATATTTTTGAGAAGTGCCAAGTGATCTCTACACCGCTGCGGACCCCAACATTTCAAGTGGCTTGCTGTCAGACGGTACCAGACAGTGTGAAGTTAGAGGTCGCCATTGTTCTGCCTCACATCCTCAGAAGCCGTCCCCACACAGATGTTCTGTAGACAGGTGTGAAGAAGGCCCCCTCGCAGGGGGATTGGATAGTCGCCACTTGAAGGCTCCCCCAGCACTCCATTCTTCCCTTGTTTTTCTGACCCTTGACTCCTGTCATCTTGGAGCCTTCTTGTTGTGCCCTCATCCTGATAAAGTGCATCTGCATAGCACTCTGTGGAAGGACGGTGTAACCGAACGGAACAAGGCCGGAAGGGCACGCGGGCTTTGTCAGCAGGCTTAAACCCGGTGCTTGTTTTTATGTCTGAACGACTGAAGTGGGAACATTGTCAGTGATTTGTTTTGTGGTCGTTCAAAATGAATCAACTTCCAAGTGGGGACTGTTTGTCCGGGCTGTACTTCAATCCTCTGCAAAGTGTTCAGTTCCTCCCACATAGTGTGCCGTTCAACCTGTTCCATTATTGTGCAGGGCTTGTTGATAAGCCCACTTTGGGCCAAATGGATGAGTCTGCGGTCACATGTTGTTCCTGAAAAAAAGTGCTCCTGTTTTTCCTTCGCCCTCCCCGGAGGGACTTGTCACGTTAGCAGCCGAGCTAACTTAATCTGTACCTTGAGGAGAGAGAGAGAGACACAGAGATAGAAAGGGGGGGAATAGGATGCTCGATAAAGACACAAGACAGACTCAATTAAGCTAAATCTGACTATGGCTTCTATTTTTAGCCATACAGCTGGGGAAAAGCGGGGAAAC